GGGGGAGAAAGAGAGTGACGAGGGAGGGAGGGGGAGAAAGAGAGTGACAAGGGAGGGAAGGAGGGGGAGAAAGAGAGTGACAAGGGAGGGAGAGAGATTGACATTCATCTCACACACACACACACACACACACACACACACACAATCGCACAATCATGCAAACCTTACACACACAGAAACACACAATGCATTCCTTACACACACTAAATGCACCCCATACACACACTCAATGCACCCCTTACAGACGCACACACTGCATCCCGTACATACACAGAAACACACCTTGCAGCCCTTACACATACAAACACAGATTCACACAATGCATTCCTTACACACATATCAGGACATCCCCTACACACTCCACCCCCTGTGAACAAACTCATTGGTGGAACATGAAGGTGGACCCTGGGACCCAGACCTTGAGCTGTGTAAAGGGACCCCCAAAAAATAGAGCTGCTTCCCGTTCTCCCAGAACATTGATTTTTGTGACCACAGTTACAAACAGCCTCCAGAGGGGGGGCGGAGCCAGCGCCCAAGCGAGACGGTCGCATCCTCTGCAAGCTCCGAGCCGCCGGCTGATTAAACGGCGAATGTACCTACCCACTGGGCACACACAAAGCCCAAAACGAGCTCCACTGGGTCCTGGGAACATGGGGCGCCGCTCCAAAAAGCAGCGAGTGGATCCTGGAATCGGCTGCCGAGATATAGGCAATTTATTCAAACAGTCGCAGTACCCCGTGCAGCCCAAGATGGCGCCGACCACGGCCTACTCCACGGCTTCGTCGGAAGCTGAGAACACACCAGAGGAAGATTTCTCTGCCATGATACCAGCCACGATGAACAAACAATCCCGGTATGTGGGACTTGGGGACGCTGCCCCTTCAACCAAGGCAGATATTAAAGCCTTATTGCAGGACCTCAAGGCCATGTTTCAAGCTGACATAGCAGTGGTAAGAGAGGATGTCGTTAAGCTGACAGGCCGTGTCCAGGCAGTGGAAGGAGAACTAGGAGGTACACATCTGGCACAATCAGCCACAGAGGCTACGCTCCATACCCTACAAAAGAAATGTGGCGAAATGAGCCAGCGACTGGCAGGTCTGGAAGACAGGGCTAAAGCCCGCAATATAAGGATACGAGGCATACCTGAATCCACCTCACCAGATGAACTGCCTCACTACATAAGGCGATTGCTAGCCACACTGCTAACACCTAAGCAAGCCAAGCAAGCTGTAATTGACAGATGCCATCGATTGCCCAAGGCAGCCAAGGCACCCCCAGAGGCACCCAGGGACGTGCTGCTGCAATTTCAGAGGGACTCTGACAAGTCTGCAGTCCTGGGAACCACAAGAGTATCTCCCTCACTGGCTTTTGAAGGCTCGCAGCTGTCCTTCTACAAGGACCTCTCAAGAGCAACCATGCAATGGAGGCAGTCACTCCGCTCCGCTACAAAGCTGCTGAGGGAGGCTGACATCCCGTACAGATGGGGCCCACACCACCTAGTGGCAGAGAAAAATGGCAAGAAGTTCCCGCTCTCGCAACTCCAAGATGCACCTGCCTTCCTCCAAGCACTGGGAGTTTCAGCAGAAGCCCTATCACCACGGGACAGAAGAACACGGGCAGTAGAAGACATCCCTCCATTTGTCCCACGATATGCACTGGCGGGGTCGGCGGACCCCCCAGCTTGACACCGACTGAACTATTTGTTTCCTGCATGTCATAATTGACAGTTATATAATTTCTTACTTCTGAAGTTTCATATGTTACTAAGATCTGTTATTATTTCTCTGGCTCCGTAGGCAACCTTGCTAAGCCGTAGTACCACCAAAAGTATTCCCCCCCTCCCCCCCCCCATTTTTACCCCTATTAATGCCTCAATGCCACGTTGGCACCTGCCTCTGTTTAAGCGCATGGCGCACACATAGCACAACACAATTCCTCACGATACAACCTAACAACACATAGCGCCCTGGAAGCAGAGGATGCAATGTATATTTCTAGGGGTATTTTCCTCTTATTCTCTATTTTATCTATATTTTCAAGTTGACAGTTAAAAATTGTTACATCACAAAAAACCCACGTCGCATATGTCAACCCGATGCTAAGTGGCTACGCACTAATGGTTGCTATTATACTCTACAACCTGCTTAAACTGTTTCCACTGCTTATGGCGCTGTAATGCAATCTAAACTTTGTGCATATGCGATGTGAACAAAAATAAAGAATATAAAAAAAACAAAAAAACAGCCTCCAGAGAGCCTGTTCTACACCAGACCAGTGGAGCCAGACTGCAGCTAGAGCCCATCATCATCCTCATCTGGTTGTAAGTAGGCAATCTAGTATATTATTCGTGGCAAAAATCCTTGCACCGGCCCTGGCCGAGTGTCATGTGACTACCCGGCGCTCAGTCTGACACTGCGCCTGCCAAACGTGCAGAGGTCCCCCTGCTATGTCAGGTAAAAGGGGGGACAAAGGTAGAAAAATAATTGGAAGGGTTTAGGGCGGCTACTAATATGGATGGGGGGAGGGGTAGCTAGAAAAATAATTGGAAAGGGTTAGGGGGGCTACTAATAAGGATAGGGGGAGAGGGGTAGGTAGAAAAATAATTGGAAGGGTTTAGGGGGGCTACTAATATGGATGGGAGGAGGGGGGAGGTAGAAAAATTATTGGAAGGGGTTAGGGGAGTACTAATATGAATGGAAGGGGTAGGGTGGGTTCTAATATGCATGGAAGGGGTTAGTGGGTACTAATATGCATGGAAGGGGTTAGAGGGTACTAATATGCATGGAAGGGGTAGGGGGGTTAATATGCGTGGAAGGGGTAGGTGGGGTTCTTTTGTGCATGGAAGGGGTAGGGGTGGTTCTAATATTCATGGGAGGGGTAGGGGTGGTTCTAATATTCATGGAAGGGGTAGGTGGGGTTCTAATATAAATGGAAGGGGTAGAGACAGGTAGTAAAATGTATGGAATGCATTTCTGACAGTGTCACCGAATGGCAGTTAGGAAATGTGGTCACCCTAAGTCAGGGGCAGTATTACACAATCTGTATATGTATAAAAAAATATAAAAAGTAATCTGCAAAGTACAAAATGTTTGTGTCATATGTCGTGCTAAAAATTAAGCTAGGAATGTGCATATTTTTTTATTTTTTTAAAATAATTTTTAGAATAATGATACAGACATTTTATTTCTTACATTTGTGATTCTTTTTTCCTCTCTATATTCAAGGGACACTATAGTCACCAGAACCACAACAGCTAAACGTAGTAGTTCTGGTGTCTATAGCATGTCTTTGCAGGCTTTTTAATGTAAGCACAGCCATTTCGTAAAAAGGCAGTATTTACATTACTGATGAGGAATACGTCTAGTGGACACTCAGATGGCCACTAGAGGTGCTTCCTAGTCGAGACATGAATGCCGCCCTATGAAGTATCTGTGCATGTGCAGCAAAGCTGCGCATGCGCACCAGAGAGCAATGACGCTTCTAAATAGAAGCGTTTTATTGCTCCCTGCTCGCACCCTCCTATTAAGTCATTTTGACGAAATAGGGGGCGCGGCATCAGGAGGATCCCGGCGCTGTATCCAGGTAAGTAAAATCCGTTCCCTGTAGTGACCCTTTAAAGTTATTGTTTAATCATTTATATAACGACTGCACATTCCGTAGCGCTGTACAATGGGATAAACAACTCCTAGTTTACGGAATAAGAATATGCCCGGCGAGTAAAAATGCTATCCCCCCAGATTTTTGGGGGTTCCTACGCCCATACTTACTCGTGCCTGGCCTGAGGTGGCCCTTTGCCCTCGCCGTGCCCTGAAGTGGAGATGCCTGAATAGGAGTTAAGTAAAGCATTTTATTTTTATTTAATTTGATCATCTGCATAGTTATCTTATTCTTTAATTTAGCACTGCGCTTTCAGAATATATGTGTTGCACATATACATAGATGTGTGGGTACATGGGGACAGAGTCAGAAAGTAGGAAAGGGTAGTGAAACTAGAAAGCAGACAGTTTGGAAGTCATGACAATACATCAGTTCATCACAAATTTTATCTGGTGACTCCATCATGATTGTGCAAATCTACAAGATGACAGAAGTGAGCAAGCTACTGAACGCATCAAGTGCCCGTCTTTAAACAAATGGTGTAACTCAATAGAATGGAATCATTTTGCTGTAAATACGAGCCTCAAAACAGTGGTGTGTGAATAACACCATCTAGTGGAACTAAAACAAATATGCACACAAAATAAATTAAGTGAATATCACTAAGATTGTTTTCATGGTAAAAGTGTCGACCTCATTGCAAGTAAAGGATAAATATTCACCATCCTCTCATCAACCTGTAACAACCAGGTCAAACTGAAAATCAACCCTAATGCTAAATACAATGTGATGTACTCATCCACAATGCAGTGCATTGACAAATTGATCAGTTAAATAAAGCAAACCTGATAGCTTATGGCAGGTCAAACAATTCAGGCACTGCTCACTGCTTCCCTGTTACTTTAAGGTGGCAAGTTGTTATTCCACATAGTGAATAGAAATTTTAAAACCTTATTAGGCTTACTAGACAGAATGCGGTTAAAGCTCATCCAACCCTATTGGTA